ATATGGCATTGCCTTAACCTTTCAATAATTGAGAATAAAGGTATTTATCTCGCACACATAATCACCTACCAATTTCGACAACTTCATTGTCGTCGAAATTTCCGTAAAATATGTTGATTATACAGGATGTTAAAAAAAAAGGTTCAAGATTTTAAGCAGACAAAATAGGGGAAAAAATTCTGATGAATATAAATCGAAAAATTAATATTGCCGGAGTTATGAACAATTATTTATTTCAATTAAAGCAAGTGACTTGCTCGCTTCTGGTGTTTTTTGTTCTCCGATGTAACTCGTCTGTGTCATTTATCGGCGAAGAGTACCACGTTTTAAAGAAATCTCTAAAAAAAGTCTTCGCTTTTGCTTGGAAAGTAAACAAACGTCCATTTTCTTCCCATTTATATCAACTCTTCACCAAGCTGTTGTTAGTCACACATCCTCGTGAGCGGTGCACAGTTGGAAAGAGCAGAGTTTTTATAATACGGTAAGAATGACATCGTATTACACTAATCGAGAAATGGCAGAAGTGCATTTCATGCATGGCCGTGCGCGACCAAAAGCGAATAAGTCATTTGCTTTGATTATAACAAATAATAATTGCTCACAACTCCAAAAATATTAATTGCCGCAACATGTTTATCAGGACTTTTTTCCTGCATTTTGTGAGCACTAACATCTTGAATTCTTTTTTAACACCCAGTATATCTAATTGCGCACACAAGTGAAGAGGACAACTTGATAAAGCGGGATCTATAATTAGAAACTGTAAAGTTTTGAGTCGTAAGGTCGTAAGAAAATTAACCAATCGCAGTCGATTATTCTTCTTGCGATCGAAGAATAATTAATTGTGATCGATCAGTTTTTTTTTTACGACTTTATGACTTTTATTACAGACACCATCTAACACTGCTTCTTTTAGCCGATTGTTTACGCAAAAACCTAAACTGCTTTCCTCCTCGTGTCTCACTTACACGAATACACCCCCCTGTCTGCTTCCCCTCATAAATCTTCGGTCTGTCATTTTCTATCGATGTTTCTTCTCGATAAAAATTCAACCAAAGCGACTTTCTAACGGCAATTTTACATCTTTCGTCACACATACGTGCCCGGGGCCCAAAATTTTCACAGTACGTAAGAATGATATTGTATTTCTCTAATCGAGAAATGGCAGAAATGCGTTTCACGCGCATGGCCGTGCGCCAGAAGCGAGTAAGTTATTTGCTTTAATTAAAATAAATAATTGTTCACAATATCAATTTTCCGAGCCATGTTTACTGCGACCCTTTTCCCCCATTTTTTGCGAGCACTATCTTTAAAATCCTAAACCCTTTCTTTAATAATAAATATCCTGCATACATCATTGATCCGAGCAGCTTTTTGCTCCACTTGACCCGATTGCGACGTACGCGGCAAGATCCGCTTGAACTTGCGGGATTCGATACTTTTTAGCGCGCTGCTTCCCGGCCGACTCTCTTTCCTGATGTAGCGACATTCGCGCGACGGCCACGTCGCCGAGATATTCCTGGCGATGCGGCACGTAAAATGAAAACACATGCGACGGAAGGCCGATGCCTATCGCCTGCCGGCGCGGCGCCGCGCTCGGGGCTCCCCTCGCTCCTCGAGCTGCCGAACGGAAGTCCGCCGCGAGAAATTTAATTCGAACCACACGCTGTGTCCTGAAAGCGTCCCGTGGATGATCGCCACCTCGTGTATGAAATCGTACCCTCGGAACTTAGAAGACCGTCTGTTCGCCGCCATCGGCCAACTTCCGTTTTAGATAGCGCGTGACAACGCGCGTCCGCGCGGCTTAATTAAGAACATTCCTTCGCGCACAGCTCCCTCGCTCTCTCGCGCTACGTTATTACATAATTGCGCGAGGATCGCTCTCGCTTGACCTTCGGTTTACTCAGCCGGGGCTCGTTCAGGTTCGCGGAGTTGGCCGAAGACTCGCCCGGCTCCTGCGAATAGTTTCGCAATGGACGCAGTCGTGAAACACGGAAAGTCAATCAAGCCCGGAGCCATCGAGCGGTCGGAAATGACCGGTTTGTTAATTAAGAGAACATCTCGTCGAAGGACTGTTATATTCAATTGCGACTGTGAAGCGCACAAGACCTCACGAGGACGATAGATCCCAGAGGTACGCGATATCGCGTATTTATGGAATGGAAACGTTCTCTCTGTGATATGTGAAATGTGTCACAATCCGAGAAGCGCGTTCCCTCATTCGTTCGGCCGCGTCGCGTCGGCGCTTTCCCGTTCGAATAAACCGCCGATAAAAATCCATTCGATCCGACTCTGCCGACTTTCGCCGTGTACGACGGGTGTTCGACGCGATTAATAAAGATTAATCACTTGATCTATCCGGCGCGCGCGCTAACCGGGCCGACGAGGAATTAATCACCCGGCTCGGCCGATCGGCGCGAATAATCGCGAGAGCGGCTAACCGAAGCGGCCGAGTGTCCGTTCGATTAATCCCGGCAAAACGAGTAAACGAACACAGCGCGCTGTTTGATCGATTTACCTTTTATACGTTTGTTGGATTGCTCGGCCGGGCGTGACGCGCGGCCGCTCGCTCGCTCGCTCGCTCGCTCGCATTCGTCGTTCGCGCGAGCGACCCTACATCCAACGAAAACACTCGTCCCGTTAAACGCTATAAATCGAGAAACGAAACGCCAGAATGGCGTCGCCAGGAATTTATCGAACGCCAAGTCCGATCGCTCGCACCGCGGCGTGCGCGACCCTTCCCCCCTCGTTCTCTCTCTCTCTCCCTCCGCTCTCCCAGCTTTCCTCCCCCCTGCCCCCCCCCCGTCCCGGATTTTCCTTTTTATTTCTCGTCGCGATCGGTTACACGCGCGCGCCGGTCGGCCGCGTAATGAATCTCCGATCCTGAAACGATCGTGAAACAAGCACGAGGTGCCGCGCGCGCCCTCTATCGTGCTCGCTCGCGCGCGCCGCTCAATGCGGCTCGTTAACGCGGCCTCTTAATCACGATCGTCTCGCGGACAATGAGCCCAATCGGCGGAAAAAGTGGCCGGCCGTGGCGGCAAATATAAATCTCCGGTGTCAGAAACAATGCGCGCGCGGCGCGATATACGAGACGGAAAGAGGCGCGGGCGCTCGCCCACGCGACTCGAACCGTCGATACTCATTCGGACCGTCATATCATCCGTCCCTCTCCCTCGCCCTCGCGCTTTTTCTCTCTTTGTTATTTTTGTTTTCTTCCTCTCCTTCTTTTTCACTCATTCACTCCCTGTAAAATCCGGAGAGGGAGAGAGAGAGAGAGAGAGAGAGAGAGAGGGAGAGAGAGAGAGAGAGGGAGAGAGAGAGAGAGAGAGAGAGAGCGGGGTGGGGCAGGAAGATAGAGAGACGGAAAAATTGCCGGTGATCAATTTCGGCGTGCCGATAAAAAATGCACGTGCGGTCGCCCCGCAGCGTTGTGTGCCTGCGTTCTTTTTTTTGTTGTTGTTGTTTCTCGATTCTCATCTGCGTTTGACTCGCGAGAGAAATGCTACTGTGTCTAGTAGGCGGTGTATCGATATACGCGCGCACGCCTGCGCGCGCAACGATACGCGTGTGTATGAAGGATCGTGAAAGGCTCCGGGCTTTTTCGACGGCAACGCAGCCCCGTGGGCGACTCGCGCTCCGCTTAATCTAGGGCTAATTTTAGCGTCTTCGATCGGCTTAATTGACCGATTAAGCGTCCACCGTGATTAATCGGTTCTAGTTAATTGTGCTCAGAAGGCGATTGTGCGACGAAGGCGATTGGTCGATTTCAATGGAATAATCGACTGATTGAGTTAATCGAAGGTGGTGGAATTGGCCGTTAGTAGGGCAAAGGATGTCTATCCTGGTCTGATCTGGAAGAACATTTCTGGAGAGAAACCAAGCCAGGCTGTTGAAAGTCGGAATTTGGAAGTCAACCCGAAGGACGCGAGTCGAGGTCAACGTCGTTCCAGCGAATTTTTATTTCTCACTCGCAAGCTTTTCCTAGCTTGATACGGATTCTCTGGGGTGATTCCTCCAGACGCAGAAGATTATTCGGTTGGTACAACTGTATTTCAGTTATGACTGAACTGTGAAAGCTTCTGTTCCTCAATAATCAACTGAAAATTTCTTCGCCACGCGAGAGAAACTCCCTTAGTAAGGTCTCTATTGTTTCAGAAATGTATTCAGTCACCTGGACTGGACTTAATGTAGTCAAGGGTACAAGTCCCATTCTTCACACGAATAAACAGAGTTTCCCCGATATGTAAGGAAGGGGAAAGCGCTTGCTTGGTTGGGTTGAAAATTGCGTCATCGACAGCTTCATTCGGCTTCATCTAACGGATCTTTTCGGTCGCGGTAACTGAAATTTCGTTTCTCTTTACCTCTTACAGGGTGAGTCACCTAAAACGGACCTAATCTAAGTAATCTTGAAAATATGCAAGGTGGAAAAAGATGTTAAATATAGAAGTATGTAAAGTCTTTTTTTTAAGTGACACAATACATAACATGTTGGTGTGACCTCGAACAGCCTTCCCGTAACGTCAAGCTTACGGGAAGGCAGCCTCGAATTTTTTAAATGGATGCCGCCATTTTTTATTGTATCATCTTCTTCTACCAATTAATTTGAACAACTTTTGTCTGAAACATTTCTTCATTTGCCTAATGAATTTTTTGAGATATTTAAAGAAAACTTGACAACTTTTTTCAATATTTAGTTTAGGATGTTTCTATCTAACTATTTAACTTCGGAAAAAAAAAAGTATTAGACTTTCTTGCTCTATTTGGGTTCAAGAATACGCTATTACAATAGTGCCGCACTAACTTCTGTTAGCTCGATCTTTGGAAATTTTAAAATCATAAATTTCCGGAATCGAAAGTTCGAGTTCCCTCAATCGAAAGCAGTTATTGATGCGACTGGTTCTTCGGTCTGCGAAACAGATTTTTTTGTGACCGCAGCCGAGCTTCATGTAACAGAAAATTTCCAGTTGTCACTACAGAATATTTTCCTGCGTGTGCAGGCAGAACTGGAGAAGCATCTGTGTTGGACTTGCCGCTCCAGACGAAACGGGCACAAATCTTCGGCCGCGGATGTCTTATCGCCGGCAGGTCGATAGTTGTCAAAAGTTCTCGACCAGCCTCATCGCCTCCAGCCTGTGTTTCCTCCCATGATTGTTGAATAATTCAGCAAGCGGAGATGTATCGAAGAAGAAAGCGACGTCCTGGCAGCTCGACGTTTCATACGCGTCGGCGAAGGGAGTCATCCGCTCGCCGTGCAACGCCCGCGCGATCAGCAGTTTACAAGTGCAGGGGCGTAAAGGGGCGTAATTAGGAAGCGAATATATATATGATAAAATCGGTGTAAATAATTAATTAATAACCGATGATCGCGTGCGATGAAGCGCACGAAACGGCAAGCTGCCGCTTGTGCTTTCAATATATTCCCGCTTGGTCTCCGTCCGTCATTTTCTGCGCGGCTTTCGCCACGCGTCCGTCCGGTCCAATGGAGTCCTTCCACCAGTCCTCCGATGGGAGAATCCTCCGATTGGGCAAGACGGATGCGTTCGGAGACTCGCGCGAGAAGAATCGAACGCGATCGCGAGAGCGAGAGCGTCTCTTTCGCCGGATCGACGATCGATACATCGTGTTTCGCGGCGGCTGGGACGGGGGACGGGGGGGGGGCGCGGGGAAGATAAAGGAGAGCGCGAGGGGCGCTCTTCCTCCTGTTCTGGGAGAAATTGAATTGTGAACCGCCGGTGTAATTGGCTCGAATCAAGGCGCGTATCCCCCGCTCGGCCCGAGGGGGCGGATAAGGAGCGATTAGAGAGGGCGGGCGGGCGGAAGAGAGACGAAGAAAGGGAAGAAGAGGAGGAGGAGGACGACACGGAAGCACGAGGACGTGCACGTGCAACTCCCGGTCCTCACCCACACTCGTCTCGTCGCGTGTGGGAGGCGGAAAGAGAGGGCCACTCTCGGAGAGAGGCAGGCCTGTGTAGCGAGGAGACAGGAAGAATTTCACGCTCCGCGAAGCGGGAGACTCTACCCGAGGGATTACCTCCAATTGATCCGGCCCTGTTGCCTCCTTCCTCGCTCCTTCAGATAGGGTCCTCTGCTATCGCTCTTCCGTTTGCCGGCTCTCTCGCTCTCGCCTCCCTCTAACGTCTCTCTTTACTCGTAAGGAGATTGCGAGAGGAGAGAGGACGTGCTCTCTCTCTCTCTCTCTCTCTCTCTCTCTCTCTCTCTCTCTCTCTCTCGCTGCCGCTCGCCTGGTCCTTCCAGCCAGATCGCTCCTTTTTCCCCGACTATTGTTCGCGCGGGAAACCGATAGCGGGAAATACATCGTTAGGAAGTGACAGGAAGGAAGGAAGGAAGGAAGGAAGGAAGGAAGGAAGGAAGACCGAGGAACCGCGGCATAGTAACGACTCTCTTTCGCGACGGCGCCCTTTGTGTCGGGGCTGCTGCTCTTTCGGCGGGAGGGTGGGAGGGAGGGAGGGAGGGGCGAGGCGAGGGCGCGGCAAGGTGCTCGATCACGCTTGATTTCTTCCCTCTACGCCGGAGAGACTGCCGGCGTCTCTCCGCAGCGGCGGCTCCTCGTGAGCGGCTCCTCCTCGTGAGCGCGGCTGACTCCGGGCCTCCTGAGACTCGTAGCTGCGAGCGCGACACCGGAAGGAGAGACTTTTCCGTGTGTCTCGTCTACTCGATCTCATTTCTCCGCTCATCTCCGTTCCCTCTCGCGCGCGCGCGCGCGCGCGCGTCTTCTCACCCTCTCGCGGACGCCGTCCGCTCCTCTCTACGGGCTCGCTCTTGCCGAGCTCTTCGCGCCAATTAAAAGAAGTGTTCTCTCTTCCATTCTCACGCCCGAGACGAGGAAGCCCCTCGGCCTGCCGAGCCGGCTGCGCGTTGACAAAGTGACAATTACGCGTGGCACGCATGCACGAGTGGCGCGGGCCGCCGCTCTCCCCTTCCTCTCCCCAGCCACCCGTCCGACCCGCGTATTTCGTAGTCACGTGCGGTCTCGTGTTACATTTTCATTCGGCTAATTGCCTTTTCATCGAGTCCCCGTGGCCGCCGCCGCCGCCGCCGCCGCCGCCGCGCGGCTTAACGCGCGCGCGTCTCCTTCTCTTTTTTCGCTCTCTTCCCTGTCGACGAGGCCAGAACGAGGTTCAAATCGCATGAACCACGGGGACGCGACCCTGATCGCCGGGCATCGGCGCAAATTGGAGGCTCCCCCAGGGCGCTAAACACACGCGCGCGCGGTACTTACGCGGTGGAACGTCGAGAGAGAGAGAGAGAGAGAGAGAGAGAGAGAGAGAGAGAGAGAGAGAAAGAGAGAGAGGCGCGTGCTTTTTGGCCCCTTTGCGAGGGACATTGACGTGGAGCGAGACGGGAAACGTTTACGTGCGCTTTGCGGGGACACTATAGCCTGAAGTGGTCCGGATGGTCGAAATTGCGCGGCGGCGACGATTTGGATGATTCTTTCGTTCAGCGACCGAGTCGAGGCGACGAACTCTCGGCCGTTTGCGTCTTTCCGTCACGTTTTTAGTTTCGGAATTTTTGGCGGGGAGATTTTACTGTCTCGGAAAGCGCAGCGGCTCCGACTTATCCGCTCGCATCTCCGGTGAATTGCACCGATTCTAAATCATTGAATCTCTTTTATCTTAAATTTTTCAAGTGGGTCTTCCATTTTTTACATCACTTTTCTCTACCGATTAATTTGGACAACTTTTGTCTGAAGCATTTTTTTTATTTGCCTAATATTTGTTGAGATATTATAAGGAAAACTTGGTAATGTTTTTAATATTTGTCGAAGGAAAAGATATTACTAGACTTTTTTACTCTATTTAGTCTTAAGAATATATTGTTGCAATAGTGCCCCAACTTTTGTTAGCTTGATGATCTTTGGAAATTTAAAAATCATCAAGTTGACAAAAGTTAAGGCATTATTGTAACAGTATATTGAGCTCAAATGGAGTAAAAAGGTCTCTTTTCTTCTTCTGACCAATAGTCACCGATTGTGAGTTAAATATTTAAAAAAGTTATCTAATTTTCTTTAAATCTCTCAAAAAATATTAAGCAAAACAAATATGTTTCAGATAAAAATTGTCCAAATTAATTGGTAGAAAAAGATGAAATATAATAAAAATGGGAATTCTCACTTGAAAAATTCGAGGTGACCTTTGCGTAGCCTTGATGACGCTGTTCAAAGTCATACTAGTACTGCTATGTGATGCGCCATTTAAAACTTTACAACTTCTATATTTAACATTTTTATCTATCTTGCATGTTCGCAAATTTATTCAGGTGGCCTGTTTTAGGTGCCTCACCCTGTATATTAATCTAAAACAGTAGTGTTTATGTATAATAGAAACGGAATTTGTCTATGTGGGTATGGAATTAAAAATTATCGATCGGTACAATAGTCTCCACGCGAGGTATAATAAGGTTCATTAATTTCAAGCTCTTTTGACGAGAAATTGCAGTCGCAAAGTAGGGAAACAGCCCAGTCTCTCAGATGCGACTAACTTTTCACTTATACAGAGCGAGTTTTCCGCGGGCAAGCGAATATTTTGATTCGCTGTCGAAGATTGAACTCGACACGTTCCACCTTCAAAGGAACAAATTCGCTCCAGTCGATTGAAACGTTCGCTCGGACAGGGTCGGAATCCATTTTCTAAGCTCGAATGAATCATTCACTCTTATGATCCCGAGTGATATTTTACCATTGCGTCTCGGGTGAACGTTTCTTCGTACGTTTCGAGCGCAGTTTTGTCGAGATTTCAGAGAGTGTATCCGTGGAAATCGACACACACACACACATATATATATTACATCCGTGGAAATCGACACACACACACATATATATTACATATATCTCGGAAGGCGCGGAACTTATTTTTCTTTTTCCCACCGCACGGCTGATTAAGTCCTTCGTCGGGGCTTCCCCTGTGACGCCTCTCGTTCGGCTCAATTGCTTCCCGAGGACTTTTAATAGCGCTGTCCCCGGGGACCCCGGCGCCCGGCGCAAATTGGCGGTTTTCCCCACTGAAATCGACGGCGTTCCGCGATAATGAGAATGTGATATATGTCGCGCGATCAAACGTTCCCATTGTACGAGACGTCGCGGCGTACGAATGCGGGAGATCGAGACGGAATCTTCGCTCGGCCTTATAAACGTGCAAATTCCTCGAGATACGACACGCCAACGCATTCACATACACACCTACACACACGTCGGCAGGCATGCGATCAGACCCCGGAAGCGGGACACGCGATTGCTCTTTGAGCCGCGAGAAAGAAAGCAATTGTAAATGGAAGGGCGGGAAGGGGGGGGAGGGGAGAGGCGCCTCGCGGGCGCGACGCAGCGAGGCGACTTGACAATTCGCGGGCGCGGGCGAGCCGTCGCGACGGGTTTCATCTCTAATTCAGTTGAACCGCGGCTGATCAAAGGACGAAAAACACGTCTGGCGAGCGGCGTTGCTCGTGGCCGATCGAAGCGCGCCGGCCGCCCCGGCGGGGAAACGAATGAAAGACGTTTTCGGCAAATGAGAAGCAGCGAAAGGAGCCGGAAAGAGCGCGCAATGTGCGCTCGAGGGTGGCGAAGGATGAGCAGGGCGATGGAGGAGGAAAGGGTGGAAGACAGGGAGAGGAAAGAGAGAGAGAGAGAGAGAGAGAGAGAGGAGTCGCCTCGCGTTCGCGTCTTCCTTCTTCGAGAGTCATCGGCGTCGGCCAAGTGAACGGCGATTCGTCGCCCGCAGCTCCGTTGCTCAGTTTCTCTTACCCCCCTGCTGCCTGCCCTCCTCTCGCCAGCTCTTGCGCAGTTTATTCAACTTCTTCTTTATTTCAAGTGGACTCGATTATTTTCCCATTTCGCCGAACGTTTGGAACAGCCCGCGCCGCGCTGGACCGCCGCCAAGGCGATTTCCACACGGCAAGGACCGCTCTCCCCCTCCTTCGTGGCGGATAATAAATGCAATCTTAATCCCTCCGCCGTCTTCGACGCGACCCGGCAGCCTTAACTGAAGATTCTCGAGCATAGCTTGATGCACGAGCTTAGACCCGTGGCTGCGCGTCCGTCCGTTACCTGAAATCTACGCGATATCGCTCCGCCGAGCTTCGCTCTCTCATAATTCCTCCGCGGGTTATCGCGATCCTGCGACACTTTTTCGGACCTCCGTCTCAGCGAGCCGGTGGAATTGCGCCCTTCCGTCGCGCCAGTCGTACGCATACGGCCTTCGGGACTTTTCATTCGCGCAAACCTCATATGTGTAGCCACGTCGAATTTGCACGTTGC